ATATAATCTGGGTGCTCGAATGGCACGGGCCATAATTTGTCCTCTGAAGACTGGATCTGGAGTTCGAACGACTGCGGCGTCGGTGGTGACTAAATGTCTGAGTGGGAGAGGTAAAGCACCAATTGCTGCATTTGCAGTTCAAGGTTCCCCATGCAGGAGGTGATTTCATCGAAGGGATGAATGGTCGGGATTCGGTTCGAGCAAGCAGTAATTTGTTGTGAAGCTGAGTTTGCCTCAAACATTTTGTTTTCAACCATCGCATTTTATGTCAGTGACTGATGGAGAATACAGACAAAAATTCACGGGTGCTTGGAGGAAGACGCTTTAGCCAAAGCTGGTGTAGGAGGGTTTCATCTAGCACCATGATACCTAGGAGTCGCCCCATGCGACGCAACAACAGGAACGGGGAGCAATTGCCATTTTCGAGATTATTGAACAACTCATCTAGTTGACACTCATCTGGGTAATCAGTGCTTCTTGGAGTTGCGTGTACGGGTCGTTCTCCGCCATGGCGATAATAAATTTGGAAGATTGTTCCGCAATTTCTGTGGGCAGGAGAGTGACTATGTGAAAATACATAGTTGTTTGCGACTGAATACGGTGTGCACGGAAGCGGGCCTCAGCTTAGGCGAACCAGGATTGTTGGTACCACATGTAGTTAACTTGTTATGGGGAAAAATGAGGTCCTATAAATCATACTTGATACAGTGAAAAATAATCAATATCCTTGAAGAACCGGCGTACCATGGAAAAAAAATATAAAACTAGAAATTTTACAAATGGCTCACAAAATAATTAGTGGGTAAAATACTGCATATACGAATAACTGTTGTTTGTGTAATGGTAACCCGGTAGTTTCTCGATTGGCGTACGTTATTCTACACCGTAAGAACCTTCATATTTCCTCAACATTCCCCCATTTCACTTCTATCGGGCTCTTCAGACTGTCGTACTAATAATAGTGTCTTAGATAGGAATTCTACCGCTGTTCTTTCGCGTACTGCCTTATCTATCGTCCAAATCTCATTGAATTCCCCATCTTTACAATGGGACGCGCAGTGACTGTGCCAATCATAGGGGTACAAGCCTGATCCCGGTAGCGTCAACGCTGTTGGCGTCCGTCATTCTCCACAGATTATTCAATATGCGTAACACCAGACGGTTTCACACCGGTCTTAGATGCATCGATCAAGTCTTCACTCTCCGACGGCTGCTAAATCACCGTCATCCCTATGAAAGACTAACGATCAATGTAGTCTTAGAGATCCGCGTGGCATTCAATTCCATCGGTGGGACCGCACAATGGAACTGTTTGTTGACCAATGAAGTACCATAGAAGTGTGCCGATCCTTGAAGTGTTCTATTCTCATACTTCAGTTCAGGTTAGGGCCTATGGCCAGCTTTCGCCACCCTTTGCGGTCTCCAGTGATGTTCGCCGTAGTGAGTATTCAACAGAATGCCTTATCCGGTCGAGTTGAACTTTCAGGAGACAGTTTTTAACTTAGAACATGCCGATGATACCTCCCTGCTAGGTGGCTATGCTCAAGCAGTCTAACATAATTAAACGGTTTGATGATAGAGGTATCCATGTGTGATACACACTTTGGGCCATCCAAGCAATGATGGGGTTCGTCATATCGTTTTGGGTTCAGATAATTGTTCTCTAAAACAAGTTGGCTCCATGATTATCCTCAAGCTGATGTGAAGTATATAAGAAGTATTAGCTTTACACCGCTTTCGATGGTTTGTTCACGTTTTGCACATGCCTTCCCATCGTCTATTTTTCCGTACTCTCTTTGCACGTACTGGACAAGGCTAGAGGAAACATTACGACGATCGGACTATGACATGACCTAGTGGTCTAAAGAAGATAGCTTTGGCTTCGTTTTGTGCAGTCTACTTTCCAGATTGAGAATCAAGAGATGAGGATTATTGTTGGTTGAAGACACTGATAAATATGGCTTAGCATAGACTTCGGTGACGCGAATGCTGTTGAAATCCCGCTCCCCATAGATAACTATAAACTAACATACAAAAATAGTCAAAAAGTGCATAGTGAAAGAAACCAAAAAAACTGTTATTCTTGTTATGTTAATACACCGTAACTGGCTGTACCCCAATTTTCCCATCTGTTATTATTGTTTTTGTTGACTAGGCAACATGCTTGTTCAAAAGCCGGTCCTTGTTCAGATTCCGTCAGGACCGTCAATTTTTCTGATGTTGCTTATTTAGCTAAGTTTTCAACCTTTGTTTATGTTGAGACCACCTTTAGTGAGGTCTGTCGACCCCAGATGGCGCGTGAATTGATACTGTGCTTTTGCCCAGTAAGCCTTTTCGATTTCAGATACTTGTGAGCGCTGGGGCCGGGAAAACGGTCGGTTCTTTTCGCAGACTAGTGGGACTTGCCCTTGACACCAACCAGTTGTTATTCTTTGCTGCCGACCAGGTGGATAAGAAAACGGAACTAGAGGCTGTATGTATCGTTTAACGACACGCTCTCTAAAACGATGTCGCGATCCACACCTTATTCAAAATTAATTTACTGGTCATCTTATCGCTTTCGTTAGTTTAGTTTTGTTCTAGATACAAAAAGTATGCATCTAGAAGCTATGCTTGATGATTGTTCAAGCCAAAACCAAACTATGGCTCCACTAGTTCCCCTCAATCCTTAAACTCTTCTATCGCTCTTATGGTATTCTCACCTAATTTTGCATGGAGAGAGTCATCAATAGTACCTAGTGCCTGTAAACCATCAAATGAGCTAATCCAAACGGGATGTTCTAAAATCGATCAAACGATTCGCTCAAGGTGCTGATCCTCGATTGTTTAGCTCAGGCGAAGGGTTTCCATCCTAAACCGAAAGGTTCACGATTCGAGTCCAGATAGGGACAAAAAAATATGCACTGTCGATGAATCTTAAACAGAACGAAACAGAGATTACAGAGATTTATATCGAATTTAAAATACTTATAAAGTACTTCACGCGCTCATACGCGTTTCACTTTTCTTCAGGTCTTCCCCCAACCATGCTCAACCCTTCCGTTACGTTCTTTCATCTGGGACGTGTCCCTTATCGAATTGCATTTAATTTGCAAAAAGCCGTGGTCGGTGCTCTCAAATCATGCACAACTGGGCCAGCACACACAATCCTACTACTCGAGCATACTCCGGTCTACACGATCGGTGTTCGATCCACCGACCCGGCCAATGACTATTCCCCCGAGGGGATAGCCACCCTCGAAAAATTGGGCGCAGATTTTGTAAAGTAAGTACCATATGAAAGCTTTTATCAGTGTGTACTTTTTACTGCGTATCTTAGTGGATAGAAGATCAAAATAACATCTGGCATGAGGGGGGGATGAAAATGCCAAGGCTTCTTGGTTGGACACTCCAAAGACAGCGTAATCGCGGCTATACAGCTGTGTCGCAGCCAATGATGGTCATGCTTCCATTTACATTATCTGCAAGTTCAAGTTATTTCTATCCGGTATCTTTATGCTTCTAATTCTTCTCTCTACTCCTTCAATCAAATGGTTAGTCATTAGGCAGCAACCGAAACCACCGCACGGAAGTGCAAAGTTAACGGTTATACGAAATGAAATGAACCTTGCGGATGAATTATGAAAGAAGCCAATCCCGTAACCACAAGGAACTATTGCTCATTTGTAGGAAGTGGCGAAGTAAGCTCTTAATTTTAGAGTATCAAACTACGTAAGAGCTTTAACCAGATAGGGTTGGATACTGAGCTGGGTGTTAATGATATTGCATACCACTAAAGTTATGCTCTGATTCGGTTCTTATTCGTCTGGACACAATAAACTAGTCGTCAGATAGGTTTTGATATTCTTAAAATGCTGATACGCTATCCGAATGTGAATGCAAGCAAATATCGAATGCAGCAAGACATGCTCTGCGAAGTTTTTCTACAAACGGATCACTGATGGCACCCGATAAGCTCTAAGTAGTCTCCAAAACGTAGGTATTGAATGGGCAGGTGGAGAAAAGCTGTGCAATTTAGAGTACACTGAAGACATCGTTTGCTTGTTCGAATCTATGGAGGATGCGCAAAACGCTCTTAACAGGCTTCCAAGTTCTGTAACTCTTTCCGGCATGCGCTTTGCACCTTCAAAATGCAAATTGATGCTACAAGGCTGGATGTCGCCTACTCCAGCGCTGATGCTTGATGGTCAAGAATTAGCTGTAACGGAATGTTTTGCCTACTGAGATAGCTGCGCGACAAATGACGGTAGCATAGTCAGTGAAGTAACCGCCCGAATTTCCAATGCTCGAACAGTTTACGCAGGACTGAAACACCTTTGGTGTAGAGGTGATGTTTCGTTGAAACTGAAAGGTCGTGTATACTGCGCCAGTGTGCGGCCAGTTCTGCTCTATGGTTGCGAGACCCTAAATTTGCTCGTGGAAGATATTCGTCATCTTGAAGTATTCGACTGCAGATGTTTACGTAGTTTGTCGCGGGTTGGATGGAGCGAGCGTGTCAACAACTCAGGTGAAGCGTTACGTATTTGGTAATGATTTGATGGAGAATTAATTGTCCCATCGCGAGTCGCTCAAGAGCTGAAGTGTGGTAGCTTGATTCATAATTTTATGATCGTTGAACGTTATTTCGCTTTTTCTTGGGGGCCTCCAAAGTCCTCTGCACTGCGACTCCACAAGCACTGTTATTCTTAACGTTCGCAAAGGTGTCTTGTTAGCCTTCTTCTCGCACTGAAAGCGATCTCTGTTTGTGATTCCGAATGGAGAATGACAGAATCTGTGTAGTTTGCCACACGCTTCAAGGACATTTAATCTTCCTCCTGGATAAGAATTGGTGATAATAAAGACTGAATGCTGAGGGTGCTGAAGGGTAACCTACGGGATACTTTTTCCACCTTTTCTATCATCTCCTATATCCAGATAGGGACATTCATCATTTAGTTTTAATCGATAACTATTCGTTTTTCATGTCTTTCACTGATAATCACAAGGACTTGTCCAAGCCTTCAGGCGGTGATTCTCAAACTGACTTACGACCATCGTCTTTAAAGAATGAATCGTTTTTAGGTTGTTCTACGCAACTTCCAGACTACCCAGTTTGGCGCACAATCCAGTACTTTCCCTCTCACGTATCTGTCAGACCCTTATTTCAAGATTTCTCATATAGTATGTGCTCATCTGGTGCAGTAATAATTGGTGAAAGACGCCAAATTATCGCTCGTGTGGGTCGTGTGTTCAAATCCCACTGCCACCTGGCTTTCCCCATTCTGGCAGCCGTTTGATTGGCCGCTTCTCCCTTCTTGAAAATTATCTGGTTATCCAAATGTCCAGCTAAAACACAGCAACGAAAACCACCGCTCAAAAGTGCATGGTTAATGGTTGCACTGCGACTAAAACTATGGTTATCTATTCAATGAAACGAAGTAAAATGAAAATAAAAATAAAACTTGCTGCCCCTAGGTTTTTCCCGTTTGAATTCATTGGCTTCTTTTCCCTAACCGCCCACTGTGTCGCACGCCTCATGTGCGAGTAGAACCGATCGTGGTGGACTGATCACTTATCATGGTCCCGGACAACTTGTGGCCTATCCAATTATGGATCTACGCTGTCGTCGACTCCTTGGACACGGCTTGCGTTGGTATGTGAATGCACTCGAACAAGCCGGTGTGCAAGTTTGTGCCCGACTGGGTCTGAAAGCCAAAGCAGGCGGGACCGAGGATATTGGGGTTTGGCTTAGTCCGGTTCAGAAGGTGATGGCTATTGGTGAGTCCAATCGATCTCGTCCCACCCTTCCCTTCGCTTTCCCATCGTATCTATTACTGTGCTGGCTCTGATCCGGTTGATTTTTTATTTGGAACAGATTGACCGCTCGAACGAATAACTCCTATTTCGTGATTCGCGAGCACGTAGCTTGGTCGAAGCTAGCATTTTACCCTTCTGATCTCTTTTATCGCACACACAAAATGAACCGCAGCAAAAGGTGGAAAACGCTATAATCAAAGATATGCTGTGTGAGTGTTTTTTGTGGAAACCACGGAGGAATTAGTTTCATCAACATCGTCTCTAAACTTCTCGCTGGGATCATACTCCGTCCATTGTCTGCCGCACGTGAACGGTTCACGCGTGAGAACCAGGCTGGCTGTAGACCTGGTCAAGCTTGTGTCGACCACATTTTCACTCTTCGCTAAACTCTAGAGCACCGACGTTCCTTTCGTAGACCCACCATCTCTTTCTTCCTGGATCTGAAAGCGGCTTTCGATTCAGTCGACCGCTCTAAACTCTGGCGCTGCCTTTCTCTGAAAGGTATACCTGAGAAGTTTATTTGAATATTACAATCCCTTGATATTAATAGCCGAAGTCGAGTCCGAGCCCACAGCACGTTTCCGCCCGAATTCACTATAGAAAGTGGTGTTCGTCAGGGTTGTCCTCTCTCTTCTTTTCTATTTAACTTTGTTATAGATCCGATTATGGAAACAGCCCTATCGTCGTGCGAGGATAGCGGTATCGATTTACTCTTGGGTGGTAGACTGTCTGGTCCAGAGTATGCAGATGACATTGTGCTACTAAGTGAAGATCCAGGTAAGTTACAAGCTTTTCTGGATAGTTTGAGTGCTATTGTAACCAGGTTCGGTATGCGTTTTGCACCTTCAAAGTGTAAAATGTTCCGTCCTGCACCCAGCCTCACCCTAACTGGGAAAGTAATAGAGCGAGTAGGCAAATTTTGCTATCTGGGAGCTACATTTCACCCGGTGGACGCATCACGAATGAAGTATCAGCTCGCATGCAGAAGGCTCGATTGGCATTTGTCAACTTGAGACATCTGTGGCGCTGTCGCGACATCCATCTGTCTGTGAATGGTAGAGTTTATGCTGCGGTAGTTCGGCCAGTTCTGCTATACGGCGCAGAAACTTAACCATTAAGAAAACAGGATAAAGGTAGACTATCGGTGTTCGAATACCGCTGTCTACGCATCTGCCAGGATCAGCATAAGGACCGGAGTCGCCTGCAACGTCAACTCAGAAATAGCCTTAAGAAAGATCGTCACAATTAGTGGGCCGAAATAGCTAGTGAAATGGAGGTAGCTTCTGCATCAGGGAATGGTCAAAGACTATTTCCCCTGATACGCAGTGCTGGAGGTCGTCGCATACCGGTCAGTGAGACCATTTGCGATAAAAGTGGACAGTATCCACAATAAAGCACGACTTGAGCGCTGGACAGAGTATTTTAGTGAGCAGTTTAATTGGCCTAGTGCTAATGTGGTCATTCCAGCAATTGCGGCGGAAACTCCATGGGTGGTAACATGCGAGCCCCCATCAAAATACGAAGTACTAAGCTGTATTCAATCATTAAAGAAAGGAAAGACCGCAGGACCTGATGGGCTTCTCCCTATTATTTTCAAGGTGGGCGGTAATTCTCTTGTCGATTCGATCGCTAGCTTACTTCGCAGCATTTGGTCGGAGGAGTGCATTCCTTTGTCTTGGGTTGAATTGTTGATCGTCCCGATCTTCAAGAAGAGATCACGCAACCACCGTGGGATTGGTTTAGTTCCAATAATCACTAAAGTGTTGACTTCTGTGATACTTCGCCGCCTGACACCCTTAAGGGAGAGGAATATCCGCGAACAACCAGCCGGATTCTGACCAGGTCGCGAGTGCATCGACCAAATCTTCACTCTGCGTCAAGTCTTCGAACTGCGTCATACACGTCGGCCAACAATCGCAGTGTTCCTTGACCTAAAGGGAGCCTTCGATTCAGTTGATCGTGAAACTCTTCTGGGGTCCCTGCTCCGCAAAGTAATGCCGCGGAAGCATGTAAACCTATTGCGTTCGTTGTACCTGCATACTTCTGGTAGCGTAAGGGTCTACGGTAGGCTAAGTAAATCGTTCGAAACCAGGAGCGGTGTCCATCAAGGATGCCCCATTTCGCCATTCCTGTTCAATTTTGTCGTAGACGAAGTACTGGAGAACGCACTTACTAGTCTCCAAAACGTAGGTATTGAATGGGCAGGTGGAGAAAAGCTGTGCA